AGCAAATTAAAAGACAAATATGAACATTGGAAGATGATATAAATGTTAAAAATGCCTATGCAAAAAATAGAAAATAACATTGCAAAGAGGGGGCATAGAGTCTTGTCACTGCACTGCGCATTCAGGTTGAGTGTGAAACTGAGAAAGTTTTTTAATGATTATAATATAACCCAATGCCAATGGGCATGACATGTACGTATGTGCTATGCCCTCTGAGAGTTACTTGTTTAATTGTTTTTACACATAGATAGCTACACTTGTACTAAGTCACCAATGAGCCAGTTACGTGTACAGCCTGTCTCGCCCGTTTACCCTTTTCCTTTGACTTATGAAAATATTCTACGTTATCTTATTTTGCTGTTACTAATGTTTATAACATTATAGTAATTATAATGTTTATAATAAAAATAACACCATCGATGTTCATAGCACTTGTAAGAAATACGTTTTTCCCACCAATTCAAATCATGTAAGGTCACAAGGTCTACTAATTGACTCCTTTGTGGCTAAGCACTATTAGAGCCATATATGTGCAAAGACATTTCACAAAAAATATAGAAAATAAGCACAGCATTTTCCTCATCTTTTATTCATTTTCCCCAGTGGCATTGGGTTAGAAATAATTATGTAATTTGCTTATTCCTAAAAGGTTACCCTTTTCTATTCAGCTTTACCCAGTGATTTCATGGTATGGAGGGGATGGAGAATTTCGATTACACCAACCTGAAGTTGTAGCAAGTCTCTGGGGACAACGAAAGAGCAAGCCAAACATGAATTATGAAAAATTGTCTCGAGCTCTCAGGCAAGTTAAAATAAGTGTTCCAATAATGAAAGATTTCTCTGTCTTTCTTTTTTTTATAGAAAACTTGAATGCTTTGAAGTAATTTGACACTATAGTTGATTTTTTAACCCCATTTATTAAACTATTGGAACTGGAAGAGTAGCTCAAAGGTAAGCAGATCCCATTTGATGGAACTTCAATTGGATTGATTGTAAATGTTTCCATTAAGATATCCACCTATAGGTAATGCATATATTAGAGACAAATAAGCTATGTAAAAAATAAATAAATGTACATCATTTTCAAACCTGTTTTTAGTCATATTGTAAATGGGTATGTTTTGTATGTTTGTTTAGTATATGAGGAGCAAATGAAAGGGAAAACTGAAATCAGTTGAGCTTAGAGATTGGCATGCCCTAAATATGGATTAATGAGAGGACCTTTTTCCAGCAGATGCACAGAGTGAATATTATATCAAATATAGATATTTCAACCCATCCTTATTTATTTATTTATCTTAGCCTCAGTATGGATGAATGTATTTAGTGTTTGTTTTCCCACATATAGACTTGTCAGGTGACATTGCAGGCCCTTCATCCCACAAAAGTAAGGAATGTTAAAAAGTTGTGAATACAAAGTTAGGATACCTTATGATCAAAAGAATAAGATACATAAACATCTCTTTTTCTTTGCAGATACTACTATGATGGTGATATGATTGCAAAAGTTTCAGGGAAAAGATTTGTATATAGATTTGTATTAGACTTAAAGAGTGTAGTGGGATACAGTGCTGATGAACTTCGGCAACAGGTAGAAGAATGTCGAAGACGAGAGGGCTACAGCTTGGAGGTCCCTCCAGTGATGGTCATGCAGGCTATATAGCACAATTTATACAATTTATGAAGTAATTGATTTTTATACTGATATTATATATTGTCTCAGTAACCTGTTAATTTCTTGCTGTTATGTAGGTAATACCAACCTTTACTTCATAAAGATGTTTATAGCAGTAATTAATAAAGTGTACCCATAATATTTTTTTAATTATCATATTCCATGGAGAATTAGTATTCAAGCACAAATAATACAAGTTGCAACAGATACCATTTTGAGATGCTAAGATAAGAATGCTGAACACAAATTAAAATTGATATCTCATCAGGAGAATGTGAATACAAAAAATCAATTATAAAAGTAAGAAATCCCAGCAATATAAATGCAAATTTTCTGAGAATGTTAATATAGTGGTCTGTTGGATAGGTTTCTTTGCACATCTTTGTTATCTATATAAATACTTATTGACCTGTTAGATCTGGCTGTCTGATAATAGACTTTTTTCCTTGAGTAGACTTCATGTTACCTCTCTATGTAGTCTACAACTCTATTATATCATTCCATTTCCTTTAACAAACCCAAATCCTCCGAGTATGGAAATTGTGTCCCCCCAAGAGTACATTGTACCTTCATTTGCAAATAATGCATGAGCCCCCTCCTAAATGCTCACTCAGTCTAACCTTCCTCCAAGAGTTTTGTGCATTTATGATGAGCTACTCCCATCACCCCTGGCTTCAGCGGAAGTTTTCATGACAGCACATTCCCGTCACCCTTGATCCTTAGCCAAGTTTTTTCATGACATGATAGTCACTTCACCAAGATCCAGTGGGTTAACTTAAAGCAAAGTTATTTAGAATTGCCAAAGAGTATATGTATCTTACTTAT